AAAAAAGATAATCAGGCTTCAAGACATCCTCTCCTTGGGGCCAACGAAATGAAGATCAAAGATAGCACATAAATAACATACCTTTGTCACTCTTACATTCTCAGGTAGTTTCAGGGATCTACACTGAGATGGTTCATTGATTTCAGTGAGCTTCCATATCTTTGACTTGTCATTGGACTCTTCAGTTATTCTAGGTTTAACATCACCCAAGTTTCGGGTATCCCCATTCTGAAAAGATGCAATCAACTTGTCAATTAAAAAGTCGATAATACCAATCATGATGAGATGCTCTCTCTACAATCCCAGCAAGGATAAGCACGATATTTGCATCTCATTTACACCATGATGTGTATGCTGGGAACCAAAAAACCTCTACAAGTAGCAAGTAAAAAATTATAAGTTCTCATTATATGAAAACAAGACCGGACAGACCATTCCAGCAATAGCTACCACAGACGAGCCCCTCTCTGCAAGTGCAGTACTAGTTGCTGCAGCAGCAGCAGCAGCAGCAGCAGCTGAAATTGGATTTATCGTAGGCTGCTCCAAAACAACATGCATTAGATTAGACTTTGTTGGCAAATTCAGGAGAGGGCCATAACATTCTAGAAGTCTACCTTTGCCATGGCTTCAGATGTTCTAGATGCGTCATATAAAGAACTCTCAAATGCACGCAACAATCGAATACCATCTGCATTGGCTAAAATTTTAATCCCATTTTCACTTGCAGAAACAGCTAATAGAGTTCCATCCTTGTTGAAGCGAATACGTGGGCTTCCCTAGAAACCAGACAAGGCGGTGATAAGCAACTACCATGTCAAGAGATCATCTCCCCAGTTTGCAATAAATGAATGAACTTACTGGAAGACCTCCATCAGCATCAATAGTCATCAAAAGTTGAACATTGTCCATGTCCCAGAATTTAATGGAGAAATCATCCCCTGCAGCCAAATATCGATTTTTTGTTGTATCAAATTGCACAACACCGAAGATCGCTTGCGGAATCCTAGGTAAGTCCTTTTGACTGCTCCTTCACTTTCATTCCACTCAACAATAGAGGACTCCCCTCTTTGCTTGTACCGCATGAAAAAAGTCTGTAACATAAATAAACAAAATGCAAATGTTTGAACAGAAAGTGATAAAAATAGATATCTTAGTTGATCATACAAGAAAAAGAACAGGACAAGTAGCCATGGTTGAGAATATTGACCTTGTACCATCAGCACTGTAAGCCATTGTTGTGCACCAACGACCAGGAGCATCATAATCAACACGAGATCCCAAATTGTCATACAACCAAGCTTTTATCTTTCCATCTAATGCTGTTGAAAATATGAACTAGAACAAGAAATCACGTGGCATCAGAAAGAAACCCAAACAGAAGAAAAAGTCAAGAACTTTTCTTTAGAATAATCATTCAGGATAACAAAAGGATTTGTAAAAATCTCCATGAGTCATACCTGAATGTTTTCTTTATAGTGAGGGCAGACACTATAAACTGGAGCCTCGTGACCTTCAAAAGTATACTGTTTAGCACCCGTAGCAGCATCCCACACCTTCACTTACCAAAATTAGTAAGCAACATTTAACAAATTACCCATTTTAGGAAACACATCGTGCTTTGAAACACTTACCTTAATGGTCTTATCATCACCACACGTTATCACACAGAGTTGCTTATTAGGGTGGGAAAATGCCAGGTCGTTCACACCACCAACATGAGCATCAATCTAGATGAAAATAAGTATATAAATTAGCGAAACAAATGCAAAATTTCTTTATATCTAAACAAATATTTTGTACACTACCTCCAGGTGCTGTCGTACATCATCCCCACTATGGTAAGAGTATATTTGGACAATGTGCCTTGAGTAAGCAACTCCTGTTTATTTAAACATTAAAATATATATATTCGATATTGGCCTAGCTGAATTCTGAACTAAAAGTATGTGTTGTTCAAATCATCATATCACACAATGAACCAATTCAAACAAATTCAACTTACCAAACAAAGCACCATCAGGACTCCAAATAACACGGTTGACGGAAACACTGGGATCTTTCACAAGAGCAGCCTAAATTTAACGAATGATTAGTTTTCTTTATAGAAATAACAATATTACAAGGCACAGTTTGGTAAAACACAACAGTGCAAAAATTGAACTGAGAAAAAACAACCTGAAGTGGCATTGAACAGGCACTAAGATCCCAAACTTTGAAGTTCCTCAACACCAGTCGCTCACGTGAACCCACTTCCCACAATGCTATATCCCCCACATTTGTGCCAACTGACATATCGCATCAAGAAAAAAGTCAATTGCTAATATGAACACGAACAATAAACATATTTTCAACAATAAAGTTAATGAGAGCGTTGATAGGCTTTAGAATAGCAGCATACCAAGAAGCAGGGTCTGCTGTACTGGATGAAAGTCCATGCTCATGGGAGATGAACCCTGATTGAGTGTTCTTATGACAGTCTTTGGTATGTCATCAGGGGCAATAAAAGCCTGACCATGTCCATGACCTGGGAATGCTGCTGGCAACACATTAACAGGTAGATTCAACTGCAAAAACAAGATTATGATATCAGAAATTTGAAAGACAGAACTATATTTTCAGGCATCAGTAAAAAAATGTCATAGCAAGTAATTCAAGACCATGTGCAAGAAAGTGGTAGCAGCTTACCTCATCTGAAATCCCCATGGGTCTTGTTCTCTTAGAAACATGATCAGAATCCCCGGAAGGGTAGTCAGCAGAAGGGTTTGTTGGAGGAGTCCTGGGGTGCTTCAAAGCAGCTTTACAAGACAATGAGCCACATCCAAAGTCAAAGATCAAGCCAAATATGTCCAAGGAGATCTTAGGACAGCTACATATGAAGACTTGGAGAGAAGAAAGCAGAAGAATGAAATACCAGGAATCGATGGAGCGCCGAGACCTATAGCTCCTCCTCCAGAAACTGCAGCATGAGCTACAGTGGTTGGATTGGACATCCAACCCGCTAGAGGTGGTGGCACAGGTGCTGGTGTAGGTTGAAAAGGCTGTGCATACAAGGCATCACACAAAATTGCTACCTCAGTAAGGAAAAATACAGAAGAAAATGAAGGGATGCATGTTGAGTGCCTATAACACCAAATTAAGGTAGACAAGGCAGTTTTATAACCCACCCCATGTGCACCAAGAGGAGGAAATCCACCAGCTTTTGGTAAGGCTCCAATTAATGGATTATTAGCAGGTGACGGAGCCCGTGCACCATTTGGCTGTCCACATGAGTGATCCACAAAAAGAGTTTTTATATCTGGATTTGGCCGTGGATTCTTACAAAGTTGATGCTGCCAATTCAATCAAGCTGCGCAACCCAAATTTTCATTTCAGGGAAAAAAAGGGTTAAAATTTGAACTTAATCCATAGCTGTCTACAATGAGAAAGCAGAAGTGGTAGCTCTGCTGTAAAACAATTAATGATCATTCACGAAAGTTCCGCTGTGCAGCCAGACACATTGTACAGGAGGAAAATAGACTCCGTCTACAATGAATAGCATTCAACGGCATGAACTTTATCATCGATGAAAATTACATAAGGGCTTATTTGAAGAAGATATAACACAAGTATACATCAATGCACACAAAAATTAGAGTCAGCAGATGGAGCCCATTCGATATTTAAATTAAGGTGCAAGTTACAATATGATGGGCTTTGCCAAAGTGTACTAAAGATATATCTCCTAGACAGGCATGTAACTATTTTGAATTGAGTGATGTGGCATGATTACAAGACATACCTCTGATTGATGAGAGTTCGTAACCTTGAGTTTTTAAGGTTGGGAAATTGCAATTTGTCACGGAATAAGGGATTTGCTTCAATCAGCTTTTTGAGCTCAACTAACATGATTGCTCTTGCAGATTTTGTGTCACCATACTTGGATAGTTGTTCATTTTCCCTGCCACGAGAAACTTGTGAGCATCTGAAGAACTTCTACACTGCAACCAAAACAGCAGTTTATATTCATACCTAAAATTCTCCAGCGTCAAAAGCTGTGTGATTTCCTTAAATAAATCTTCATTAAATGTGGCAAAGACTTTCAAATCCTTCACTAATATTTCTACCGCCTTGGACCGATCATGCCTATCAATATTTAAACAGGTTAACCGAAGTTACATACTAGAATGGTGACAGTACACAGAATCAAATGTGAGCCAGTGAGCTTACTTATCTAATGCCTCAAGGTATTTTTGCTTTCTTATCTCAAAAAATATCTTCATGGAGTACCGATTATCATCTACTTTGGTGAAACCAGAGAGGTATCTTTCAACCTCATCCCAATTGCCATTATGCACTTCATCCTCAAAATATTTCATGTTAAAGAAAAACCCAGACTCCTGCTCAAGCCTATTAATTTTCATTTCACACAGAGAGAAAAAATAATTAATGCAACCAAAAAAAGCCAATAGGGAAAATGTACAAAAATCGTAATAACAAGTAAGAAACAAAAATGGCACAAGCCCCACTTGTGAACAGTCTCTTTGAACTTTTCCTCATCCAGAAACTGCAAGATCAAGAACACGAGTTCTCTGCTGAGAGACGACATCGTCTGCCTCGCCCTCGATTAGATACACACTAAAATGAGCACTAGTAGTCTAGATCTGCAAATTTTTGAAAAGGGAAGAAAGAAAATAGATTAAACACACGGTTGGCTACGAATGGCTTAAAAATCACCGGAATAATAAAACAAAGATAATTCAAATCCATACCTAGAACGAAATCATTAACCAGCCCCAGCTTTTCATTTAGGATAACTACCATTTTTGTTAAATTAACTACACCAAACCGATGTGGGTAGCGAAATCAGCTTGAAGGGAAGAGAAAGGGAAAAATGAAAACAATTTGACTCTATCCTAAACGATCAAAGCAGGTCAAGAAAGCATCTTTAATCCATATGGGAATCGAAGATGCAAGGAAGAAAAAAAGTGTAAAAGGAAAATAAAAATAAAGGCAAGGGCAAAGAAAGAAAAAGTTGAAGAAAAAAATAAAACTAAAATACCCAGAAAAGCTAAAGACTTTAAAGCAACAGATTCGACAATATGAGAGAGAAGGTATTTGTGTCTGTGTGCCCGGAGAAGCTCTCTCACCTTTGAAACCCCAGCAATCGGCAACACATGGGAAGAAGGGTCCCGAATATTGAACGGAAAAAACAGACCAGAAGAAGAGTTTAGGTGAAAGCTCTCTCTCTTATCTTTCTCCTTCTCTTGGACTTTCTCTCTCCTCAGCTGGACTATTACATGTTCTTTTACTTCTCTCACCACATAGCAACTTCTCTCTAGAAATGCTTTATATATATGTATATAGGACAGTTGAGCTAGCAGAGAAATGGGTGTTTTTTTATATGGGAGGCGACAGATAGAAGAGATGATACGTTGTATCACTTATCACTGATAGTTGATCTCAGTGATGATAAGTTGCAGGTGCAGGAGATGACTTATATGATAAGTACAGTGACAATGGGGTCCACTAAGCCGGCTTCAATTCGTCTTTTAAATCGGCTCGAAATCTGAAGCAGCCAGCTGTCTCTCAACTTGGACGAAAAATTGTAGGGAACTCGAGATAATGCGGGAAATAGCCTTGATTCTTTAAATTTTCCTTATAAAAAAATTATGCTCCACATAACATAACTAATTCTTTGGTGTTTGAACTACTATAATTTGTCTTCGCGTCAAAAAAAACTACTCCTCTCATTTTAAATATAAAACTTATTTTGTTATATAAATTAAATTATAAAATAAATTTATATTTAGAACAGAAAGAGTACTATAATTTGTCTGAGGTCAAAAAAAGACCCAAAAAAATTTAGTATGACATGTACTCCTCTGGTCCTATTTATAAGGCACTTCCAATATATTTCACACAGACCAAGAAAAACCTTAAATTGTATTAACTTTTCATTAAAATATAACAACTTTCTAACTTTAGCCCTATTTAATATACACTCCTTTCAAAAAAAACTATCTACACTATAATAAATGAATGACAATATGGTACATTCATAGTAAAAATTAATGAAGTGACTTATAAATAGAACCAAAAAAACTTCATCTCTTTGCCCTATAAATAGGAATAGAGGAGTAATAATGCTAGTTTCTTTTTAAATTCATGCCAATATATAACCTTTTTAATATGCGAAAGACACTATTTTGAAAATTCCCTAAGAGTATTTGGACCTCATAGGTATCACTTTAAACTTGCCCAAATATTTTGCATTTTAAGAGGAAATCAATATATCATATATTTAGAGACAGATAAATTACGAATGTGAGACTAATATTAACAATTAAGAATTTTTACTCTTCATATGCACTCCCTTTTTCTTTTAAAGTTACACTATATGGATTTTAATAAGAGTAAAATTAAAAGCTTGTTTAATCTTAGGTACTGTTACTGAGTTTTTAAATTCGATTTAATTTTACTTCTAACTTTGTAACTTAAGCGGTATGAAATTTTTCTTGACAATACTAAAAATAACTTTAAAAAGGAACAATATATATGCCTTCGTTCCTTTTCATTAAAAAAAAAAAAACAACTAGCACATGTGGTTTGTTTCTATTTATAAGCGAAATTAGAGGATATTTCAAACTTTTTTTGTTAATCTTTTTCATTTAATTACTCATTTTAATATTGATACGTTTATTATCACCTGAGCTTCGAAGGATACTCTCCACCACACGTTCTTCTTCTTTCACTATTCTCTTTATTTTAAAATTTTCTTTATTTTTTCCCTCAAACTCATTCCTTATATATAATGGTATTTTAAAGAAATTTACAATTTTTTCATAACTAATTTTAGCAAATGTTTTTATCAATATAACTGGACTAATTATTTTTCATAAAAAGAACAAGAGGATTATTATAATAATTTCACTTTAAATCCAAACTTGGCACGAGGAGTTCTTTGGTGGAGGAGCATATAATAATTGTTTAGTGTTTGTCATGGGATGTACATTTATATATTTAATAATACAAAGATGAATCCTATGGCTGAAAAGTAGAAAGTGGGCAACGAGGAGTGAGATGATGACTAAATTGTACTCTTTATATTTTTAATTATTGATTAGACGTGGGTCCCATGTACTTGTACAAAATTTTATAAATAAGAGATACTCCTTTGGTTCTATTTATAAGACAGAGAAAAAAAATTTTTTGATCTTATTTATAAGAAACTGAAATTCTTTCTGTATAGACATACAGTTTTACCTTTTACTTATTACTCCCTCCGATTCCTTATTATAAGAGACGAAATATAAAGGAATTATGTTGATAACAAAAAAACAGTTAAAATTAGTTAAGAACAATAGAATGGGTAACAAGTTATAATTTTTTTTCCAAAAATACCTCATAATAAGGAGAGAGAGCATTGAGAGAGAACAATAGTAAATCTTTAAAAGAAAGAGAAGTGGGAAGGAGAGAGAGAGAGTGTGAGTTGGAGACAATAAAATATGGGTAAAAATAGAAAATCAAACAAAAAAAGTAAAGACAAACTTTAAGTGTCTCTTATATTTAAGAACATGCTATAAGCACAAATGTCTCTTATAATAAGGAACGGAGGGAGTTTGTATTATTTTGTTTATATGAAATATAATGTATATTAGATAGGGATATAAAATTAGAAAGTTATTGAAGCTTAAATAAAAGTTAACAAAACTTAAGTTTTTCTTATTCTATGTGAAACATGTTGGGAGTGATTGTAAATAAAATTAAAGAAATATTGTTTTAATGTTGGCCAAAAAAGAAGGTGTTGTTTTAAACTTTATGAATTTAATCCTAATAAATAGAAGAGTTAATTAAATATTTAATTTAATCTAAATTATAAAATTTTAATTATTTATTTACTATTATTTATTTTATTCTCAAATCACTTGTACGAGGATTACCACAACTTAAAAGCTTTATCAAATAGTTTTAAAAAATTAATTATATTATTACAAATAACAAATCTAATTAATTTCTTTAACGTTTTTAAATGATTATCTAACTCTTAAACTAAAGAGGTGTATGTTTAATATTATTCTTCTTACAACTTATATTTAATGGTATTTTTATGCAATACTAAAACTTTAAAAAAATGCATCATTATTAAATTTTAATTATTGATCCATATTTAAAAATATAAATGATAGTATTACAGATTCAAAATAAATTGAATTTGCGTTGCATTACAATGACTGAGAAAATACTAACCAGGAAGCTGTATTGCAATGTGGCCAAATTATGCCCATTATTATTATGATCATGATTATTAGTAATTAGTATTAGTATTATTACTTTGAAAGCTATGGAAATAATAAACTATTGCGTACGATAAATGCCGAAAAAAGTGAATTTATGAAGGCTAGGATCCCCTCGGAAACGACAAAAATTTATAGGACCGGCCCCTCGAAGAATTGCCCCAGATTGGGATATATTACGGGGATGCCATTAGGGTGAAACTGTGACAGCCCCAAGATGCGGTACTTTGTATCGTCAAATTAAACGTGGAGTGTTGAATTGTGAATTATCGTTTTAACCATAAGCGAGAAAAATAGCTTAATTTCTCTCCTACCCGTACGACACGATACATAAAAGTAACGATAAAGTCGGACTTATTAAATAAGCCGTTGATTATATGGTAAATAGTTTTATTATCTAAATATAAAGTTAGTTAACTAATTTAAATAAATTAAAATAATAAATTAAATTAGTTATTTGTAATTAATAAATATTATATTTTTTAAAATATATTTATTAATAAGTATATTGATTAGAATTATATATTAGAAAGACTATCTTAAAAAATATATAAATATATAAAAAAACAAATTAGGGTTTGTATTTATGATCAAATTAAAAATCAAACATAATCTTATATTAAGGATTGAAGGTGATATCTTATAAGAAGAAGGATATAAATTTGAATCTCGAAAAACATATTTATTGAAAAGACTTTAATTATAATGTTCCGGATCCAATAAAAATTAGTTACACTTATAACTTCACAATTAAGTTATAAAAAAGGTCCGAACTCAAGCGATAAAGATGATTAATAATAATCTCCAATTGTTCCCAAGAGACTATATTTTGTACATATCTAAAAAAATATAAATACCATAACTCACTCTTTTATTTTTATCTCGTTAATTAAACAGTTAAGGTATATGAACATCTTAAAATATTTTGTCAGATACATCTAATATCTTAAAATATTTTTGATACATTCAGCACATTCAATGTCCTAATAATTTGATTAGATTAAAAAATTAGATAAGTTACTTAATTATAAGAAATATGACATTTTTTTAAATACCACAATCATTTTTCTTAAAATCCTCCCTCAATGTCCCTCTTGATTATGTATCAATAGAAGTAATTTAAAAAAATTAATAAAAATGATAAATAGATCTTATATTTAGGATTAAGATCAACTCAACAATTAGATCTTATATTAAGAACCAGAAGAGATATATATATATATATGATTTGTGAGATACATACCCATATAGATAGACTATCTCTGATTTGAGAAAATTAAAAAAATATATTAAATTATTTTAAAGTATTTATATTTATTTTTCTTTAAACTAATATGCCTCGCTTATAAATTAATATATAATCTAATGACATACACAAATATTTTAGAAATATTATAGAACATGCTATAATTAAATAATTTTGTAACATTTTTAAATTTTTTTAAATTAATTAATTGAGTATTATTTTAATAAGAAAGTGTGAAAATGTGTT